TGTTTGCCTTTATATAGTAGCATGTTTCACTTCAACTTATCCTTTAAACAACATTTTAGAGTTTCTAAAACTTGAAAATCTATGTGTTAGAGTTTAGACAATTGGATCCATAGTCCCTTACGCACTTGGTTACTATAGATTTTAATTACAAAAGAGAGGAGATATCTTCATTTACAACTCTCTTTTTTTTCAATGCTTAATCAAATGTCCACAAGCAAAAAAAAGCATAGAAATGCAAACACAGAAGTTCATAACTCCATAGTGACTGACCAAAAGGTCTCTTTTTAAGGGAAGTGTGTGTCATTACATATAACTAAGCACAACAAGATGCACTCACTGCCCTATCCATGGCCCTATCCGGTAGAACCATCCCTGTTGGATTTTCTGTTGGCTGTACTCGCGGTAGCCTTCTTGCTGCACCGGTCAAAAGAAAAAGTTATAACAGCGTTTAATACACGAAGCAATACTTGTTGACTTTGATTCTCTGAATGTAACGATAACTTACCAATTTCATAAAAGATTTCTTTGACATTAGCTGCGGTTTTCGCTGAAGTTTCCATGAAGAAAAGACTGTTCTCTTGAGCATATGTTTGTGCCTCCTGCAAGGAAGACCAAGAGTGTCAGATAACAGGAACCAGCAAAATTTAGAAGCGAAGAATAAAGCTGTAGGCGAATATTTCGGGAATGACACTAAACTCCACTGATACGAGAAGTGTTAGAACATATCCTTAAGGGTGAATATAAGTCTATATATATAATGCCTACTTCATTAGAGATACATATGTATCAGGTACTATCTAACACATAACGGATCAGATATTTTATCATTTGGAAAATAGAGCTTGCTTTCCCTTTGATCCTTGCAAGTTGCTAATGTTTCAACTTTAACGCATAACGTAAATGGTTCAAACAGAAACTTCAAAAGGGTCAGTCTTGAGAATTGAGACTATCTAGACTTTAGGCTTTTGGCATAAGAGATATCACCGAATGGTTTGGTCATCAGTGAGAATTCAAATACAGCTGAACACGTTCGACATGATGGATCAGCTATTACACATAGCTCAACTTTATCTTAACAACAAAATCCAAACCTCACAACGAGAAAAACCAATCAGGACAAAATAGGATTTGCTTACCTCTGCAGTCACCTTCCTTGCATCTAATAAATCAGATTTGTTTCCAGCAAGGGCCATGACCATATTTGGGTTACCTATTCACACAAATATATCCAAATAGTAAATTCCACAAGCCAGCAAATAAATCTTGACAGTACCAGTAACGGTAGTCATAAACAAACCGCAACTTAGCTAGACAATACCTTGTGCTTGCAGTTCCTGAACCCATTTCTTTGCCCTCTCAAACGATGCCTGAAGAAACAAACAAACTTAACTTAATAGAAAACCATTTAAAAGGTTACTGAATTGCACCCACTGGCAAGTACGGGTTAGCGACTCTGTACCTGATTCGTAACATCAAAGACAATGACTGCAGCAGCTGCACCCCTGTAATACATTGGAGCCAAACTATGGTATCGTTCCTGACCCGCAGTATCCCAAATCTCGAACTTCACAGTGGCATCGTTCACAGCTAATGTTTGCGAGAAAAAAGCTGCACCTATGGTTGATTCCTATAACACAAAACAATATCAAAGTCAAGAAACCACACACATAAATATTAATAAAACAACAAGGCAAGGAAGATCATTGACAAAACGTAACACTAACCTGGAATTCAACAAACTGATCTTTAACAAAACGTAACACAAGACTCGATTTTCCAGCACCAACATCTCCAAGTAACACCTGAAGTGCTTAACCAAAAATTACAGAACCAAATCAAAAGAAACATACACAAGCAACTAAATGCAGAATCTCCAGATTAAGCAACAGAGATAGATCACTAAACCCTATCAGGAAAACAACTAAAGTCAGAAGATTTCAATTCCAACATAAAACCCTAATACTGAAACCGATCAAAGATTCAAAATTCTCCATTTTTTTTCTGGGCTTGAAAGAATTAAAACCATCAGATCAAAAAATTCACCAAATTAGAAACAGAATCACAACAGGAAACTGAAAAAATCTAACAAAATTTGGTACAATTAATCAACTTTACGATCATCGAATGAAGAAAAAGACGGACCAATTTCGCGTTAATGCTCTTGTTTCCAGCAGTAGCCATGATAATCGATAAGCTCGAGGATCTTCAGCTCAAAATTTCAAAGAGAAACGAGATTGAAGATCAAAAAAGACGAAGAAGAAAAAGTTGGAAATTGCAATGAAAAGAGAAGGAAGACGCGTGCGTCGTCAATATACAACAACCAATCTTCTGTATATTCCTTCTTCTTGCTCTCTTTTCCGGA